ACTGGATTATTGGTTTTCTAGCTAATCACCAGAACTTACTTTTCTTAAAAAAAAAAAAAAAAAGTCTTTTTTTTTTGGTTTTAGAGAGAGAGGAAAGGAAAGGGAAATACTGATGTGAGAAACATCAATAGACTGCCTCCTGCATGGCCCCAAGCTTACAACCTGGCATGTGCCCCAATCCAGAATCTAACCTGTGACCTTTTGGTGCGTGGGATGACACTAAACCAACTGAATCACCTGGCCAGAGTAATCAATCACCAGAACTTTCTAAATTATAGATTCCTAGTTCTCATCTATATTTAGTTGAATACTCTGGCCTAAGGCCCAGGTGTCTGGGTTGTTAAAAGGTCTCAAAGTAATGCTGATGATCACAAGAATTGCATCCCCGCAATAGAATCTCTCCATCCAGTGCCTGAGTCTCATGGTGAGTTGTGCTAAGCATTTATGATGACATTAGTAGACACAAAACTGAAAACAGAAGGATCATCTCCAGGTGACCACATGTACCCATTAATTATTGTTAGCATAACAAACTATTCCAAAACAAGAAGCTTAAAATGAATTGTTAGCATAACAAACTATTCCAAAACAAGTAGCTTAAAATGATAAGCACTGATTATGCTCACAAGTCTGTGGATCTGGATCAGTCTGTCTGAGCTCTGCTGGGCCCACTCAAGTGTGGGGCCAACTGGCTGGTCTAGGATTGCCTCACTCACACACCTGTCTGGTATAAGACTGCTGTCACCTGAGTGACAAGGGTCCCTGGGAAACAGCAAGTCCAGGAGTGTCCGTATGGTGACCGGGCTGGATTCTGAGGGAATAGACAGAAATATTCGAGGGCTCTTAATACCTAGGCTGGGGTCCAATATAATGTATACCTTTACTTCTGCACATTCTACTGGCCAAAGTAAGTTACAAAGCCACGCTCAGATTCAGGGACTGGGGAAACAAACTCTGCTTCTTTTTGTTATTGTTGTTTTAATTGATTTCAGAGAGGAAGTGAGAGGGAGAAATGATATAATAGAAACATCAGTGACAAGAGAGAATCACTGATCGGCTGCCTCCTGCACATCTTCTGCTGGGGAATCGAGCCTCTGACCCAGGCATGTGACCTGACCAGGAATCAAACTGTGACCTTCTGGTTCACAGGTCGACGCTCAACCACTGAGCCACACCAGCTGGGCCAGACTCTACCTGATAAAGAGCTACAAAGCCATATCACAAGGAACTAGATTCAAAGAGGGGAATCACTGGGGTCATTTTGACAACCAATTTATTCCACGCCTAATATAATTGGAGAAAAAGATCAACTGCAGCCAACTGTGGTTTCTAAGTGTAGGCAAAACTTTTCACTCTAATCTCAAATACTATAAAATCACCAGATTGAAATTGAATCAGCTATTCCTCATTTCTACTGCCTGCACACAAAAGCATCTTACTTAATCCTCAAGATCTTGGTGTCAAACTAAAGCAAAAGGAATCTGTCTCAGCACTATTTTATTCATTATTTTATTCATTACTTATTTACTTATTTTTATTATCCTACCCAAGGATATTTTTTCACTGATCTTTTAGAGAAAGTGGAAGAGAGGGGGAAAGACAGAAACAGTGATGTGAGAGAAGCCCATCCATTGGTTGCCTCCTGCATGCCGCCCAGGGCCCTGCAGGTAGGAGCCTGCAACCGAGGTATGTGTCCTGGACTGGAATCAAACCCAGGTCCCTTTGGGCTGCAGTCTGACAGTCCATTCACTGAGCAAACTGGCCAGGGCTCAGCACTATTTAATATTATTTCGGGGGTTTTAAAGGTGGTGTGGATGACATGCCATCCTCATGGGGATTGTTCAGGGCAAGTGTCTCTGTGATGTGTCTTCCTGGTTTGGGATGTGCCTACAGATGAAATGTGGCCGAAGGATCAGGGCTGCATCCTCCAAAGGATCCAAGGCATCAACAGGAAGGAGTACCGATGCGTAGTAAGAAATATTACAGGAAAAAGATAACATACCAGACCAACAAAAAGCCTAAAGAGCAGGAAACTGGAGCTCACGGAAGATTACAGGCTGGGGCTAATGATACTTTAGCCACTGGCTGTGCCTAAGCCCTCTTCACTTTATATCCCTAGTTCACTCATCCTCGCCCCAACTGTGACCACTTAGGAAATGCACTAAAACTACGGTGGCTGAACTCACAGCTATAGCTATTATAGCATCCCTACAACCAGGGTGCTGCTTTCTGGTTTTAAAAAAAAAAAATCACCATGACCTTTTGGTTAGCTCCACTCAATTCTCTAAACACATACTTGTGAGGTCTGGGACAGCAGGGGGTGGTAGAGAAATGAATTCCAGAAAACACAGGATGACAGAGAAGTGGTGGAGGCTGGGCTGGGATACAGAGAGTGGGAGGAGAAAGGCAAGGTTGTTGAAAGTACCCAGTTTGGTTCCCATTTGTAAGGCCAGTTTTCAATATGCCTGGTAGGGTCACTGCTTAAAAGACTAAACAGAAGGAGTACATGAAAACACGATGAGGGGGGGGGAATGCTAGCTTCACCATGAAGATGCCTCAGAAATGCCAGATTCAAGAAGAAACCACACTTGTTTAGTTTATGAAGAAACCATAGGAAATTCTGAAACTGTGCAGAATAGGCCATCAATAGCAAACACTGCTGCCCGGCCACTGTGTCTCAGTGGTTGAGCATCGACCTATGAATCAGGAATTCACGGCTCAATTCCTGGTCAGGGCACATATCAGGATTAGGGCTTAATCCCCAGTAGGACGTGGGCAGGAGGCAGCCAATAGATGTCTCTCTCATGGATGTTTCTATCTCTCTATTCTTCTCCTTTCCTCTCTCTCTAAAATCAATAAAAACATACTTTTAAAAAATAGCAAACACTGCCCACTCTCCTCTATACTGGATTCTGTCCCTGAGCTCTGAGTCTAGGAGAGAAGTGGGTTTGGGAGGGATAACGATGTTTCTATACACCAATGCAGAGTATCCACATCGCATATGCCTCCGGGGGCCAGATGGTTATTAGTATTGTTACGCCCATGGGTTGGAGTGGCATCCATTTGATTTTCAATCGTAACTGAAAAGAGCCACAAATGTAAACCTCGAATCTCTAATAAAATCATCATTATTGTTCCCACTCCCTTCTTGCTCACTCGGCAACAAAATAAATGGCATTCTTGGGTCACCTTCTAAAGAGCTGGTTGATTGGTCACTCTTTGCTTTACATTAGCCAAAGGGAAACCTAAGCTATAAGGAAGCAGACTACTGGCATTATTATCACAGAAACACTATAATGGCCATGACAAAGAGTTACTGATTTCAACAAGAAAGCACACTAGACTTTCCTAAAACTTAGGAGAGGGGTATGCACTCCAAGAAGCAGATTTGCACCCTGCCTGTGCCCTTCCTGCCTTTTCTTGATACACCAATTTTTAGGGCTGTTGTTTTTTGCTAGTCTAAAAATCTACATAGGGTCAGTGTAGGTTGCTCCTAACAGAGAATCCTTAAGTTGCCCACACAGCGGTGCCAAGAAAGAAACTGCTGCATTCGTAGAGATACCTGGGCACAGGCCAAACTTCCACGTGTGTCATGGGAGTGCCTCTGGCTTGGGCAGCTCCCTTCACCGTTCTCCTACAAAACCCTTAGCTCAGCATCTTCACCCTCTAATGTCATCAGGACATAATTCCTCTTGTCTGTTCAAAGAACAAGGCCGTCTCAAATGGACTACGTACTAGTACAGTATCAAATTAGTATTGTATTACCATAGCCTTCTTCTTGAGCTCTCCGCAGGTATGAAAGCTTGGGCTCGGCCAGCACCAGAGGCAGCAGCTGTATTTCTGCCATGCCCATGCATTCCTTAGCCTGTGTTTGGAATAAGTTGTATTCCTTCATCTGCCCATACAATCCAATAGTTTGAGTTTTGTGGGTTTTTTTTTTTTTAATATTTTTATTGATTTCAGAGAGGAAGGGAGAGGGAGAGAGACATAAAACATCTATGATGACAGAGAATAATTTATCTGATGCCTCCTGCACACCATTTACACACACACACACACACTCCCGCCCGGGGATCAAGCCCACAACCTGGGCATGCGCCTTGACCGGGAATTGAACCATAACCTCTTGGCAATAATTTGTGTTTAGAGTAAGTTGTATTGCCTGCATTTGGAATAAATATTGAAATCAGAAGCCTGTTAACAATGCAGCGCTTGATGGCTGTGAATTACTCTCACCCACAGCAGCTGAAGGAGAAGGCCTGGCATCAGCCCCCCACAACAAGCCTGCTCCCCAGCCTCCTCCATGTGCCTTCCAACCCTCCCCTCAAAGGATTCTCGTCACACCATACAAAGATCTCTGTTTTCTCCCTTAAATCCCACATGAATCCCACATTGAGCATCTGTTTTCTTCACAGAGCACCACAGATTTAATTCAATACTTCCATGCTCATCTATATTTAATTAGACCAACGTATCTTTAAACTCTTTGACTCAAACCCTTCCGCTGGTATCTTCCATTCAACACGAAAATCTTTTAAAAAGGGTTTTCTGTTTGCTCGGTTTGTTTTGTTTTGAGGCAAAACGTCATCGTGATCTATATTAAAGCTCTGATAACAATTTAAGCTACTTTTCAACTGGTCAGAGGTGCTCATAAAATTCCCACAATCCTTAGCATCTTTCTTTCTTCAAAACATATTTGATAAGCAATGTAGTCTTTAATTTCTTTCCCCCTTACAGGGCCAAAAGGGTAAGTTGTACTAACCAGAGGCAATTAGTACATTAAGTTTGGCTTCCAGACCAGGCTATCAGGTTACAAGTTCTAATAAATCCTGCTAGGAAAAGACACTTCTTTGTCTTGGGGTGACTGAGAACTAAGGAATCAACCACACAAAACCCTTCAATTCCATCAGAAACTCTCCCGTCTAAACACAATAGAAAAGAGAAGCCAAACCCCAAAGCAGAGAAAATGAATGAAGTGGTCCCTCTGCTGGCAGCCTTACCATTGGGAGTGGAGGTCCCCTCTGGACCCTCACACGGGCTCTGGCTGCTCCTGGAGTGGGGTGAGGGTGGCGAGGGGTCCAGGCCGTGGGTGCGGGTGGAGGTATGCTCCGTGCAAGCCTGAACAGGACTCACCGCCGTCTGCCTGCCTGTCTGCCACTCCGTCCTCTCGTCTGGGTGGGAAGGGCCAAGATGAAAAAAAAAAAAAAAATGTGCAGGTTACTCACTGGCCTTCCCAGGCAGGCGGGCACACCCAGGAGGAGGGAGAGGCAAGGCGCAGATGGGGAGCTTCCTCAGAGGCAGGGCTCGAGATCTTGCTTCTGACTCCTTTTGTTGATACTTCCTGAACTTTAAACAACCTGCACAGGCATGGGTACTTCGGGGAGGCAAATAACACTTGAGTAATTAGATTCCGGGGCTTAATGCAAAGGTTACTTTGAAAAGGCGATGTTTCAGCATACACACTTTCAGATGGAACTCCGAAATTGGTTTCCACTGTGCTCGAGCATGAACGTGGCCCGGGAAAGGCAGGAAAGGGGCTCCCTTGGTGCAGGGGCTTGGAATGGCCTGGAGCGGGCAGAGCTGGATGGGATTCAGACAGTGAATTTCGCCGTCTTCCAGGCTCTGAATTGTAGAGGAACAGGATTGTCTGCCTTTCCTAAGAAGCACATTCTTGAAACAGGTATCTGAAAATCAAGAGTTTAGAAATGGATTCCCATTGAAAATGCAAAAAAAAAAAAAAGAAGAAGCTTGCCACCTGATAGTCTGGCCTTTGATAAAGCCTAAAATGAAGCTTTGCATCAATGGAGGGACCTGGGGTAATTTGTTTCGGTAAGTGTGGTGTTTGCAAACAGAGGCATGGCAGTGTTATCATAGAAGGAAATGGACCCATGGAGCGGAGAGTGAGGAGGAGGAACTAACACCTCTTAGTACCACTCAGAACCAGGTTCTTCTCTCATTTAAGCCTGGAAATGCCTATAAGAGGGGGCATCATTGCTTCTCTTTCACCTGTGAGTGAGCACCCTGAGACCCAGGGGTTAGGCGACCTGCCCAGGGTTCAGCCACCCAGTGAGTGGAAGACCCAAGGTCTGGGCCCCAGTTTGCCTGGATCTAAGACCCTCCATACCCCTGGGCAAGTCTTCCAACATTCCTGAAGAAATATTCTTCCAACATTCCTGAATAAATATTCACTTGCATTTGACCTAAGGCTAGGTTAGCTTTTCTTAAATATGTATACCAGTTGCAAACTGATAAACTATCCTGTATAATAAAAGCCTCATATGCAAATTGTCCCCTCAATCAGGAGTTGGAACTGGAGTTCAACTGTTCACTATGACGTGTGCTGACCACCAGGGGGCGGCGCGGAACATGTCAGGCATAGGTGATGAGACATTGGCAATGGGCGGCAGTGGAAGTGCTGCCAGCCCCAATGGGCTTCCAGGTGAGCCAGGCTGCAGCCACCAGGTTCACAGGGGCCGATTGGGCTTCCCGTATGTTTGCCCAGAAGCTGGTCTGCAATGCCAACTGGGAGAGAGAGCATTGCCCACCCAGCTTCCTTGCGGCACCACTGAGCAGCCCAGAGGCCCACGCTGTGCCCCCGCCACTGGCTTGGCTGGCCGCACTCACTGCATCTCCACATGGGGACTTGGATGCTGTGACTCAGATGGAGGGGGGTGTATGGGGGCCCAGGGGCTCAGGTGCTGCCCAGGACCCAGAGGTCAGATGGGACCTGCCCTTCCATACCAAAGGCTCACCAACCAGGCCTAGGGACTGCACCTGTGCACAAATTTCATGCACTGGGCCTCTAGTAGAATATAATGCTGCAGGATAATAGATACAATAGAGGTAAGAAAAAATGTACAATCAGATTTCTTTTCTGTAGCTCCTCACGATCTTTACTATGCTAATATATATTATAAATTTCCCAGCTAGGGACCTACAGAGTGCCATGTTTCCTTCCCCAGAGCTTTTTTGCTTAGAAGGAGATCTTTTGGGTTTGGAAGCACTGTTAAAGAGATGGGTTACTAGCCAAAACTGGTTTGGTTCGGTGGATAGAGCGTTAGCCTATGGACTGTAAGGTTCCAGGTTCAATTCCGGTCAAGGGCATGTGGTTGCGGGCACATCCCCAGTAGGGGGTGTGCAGGAGTCAGCTGATTGATGTTTCTCTCTCATTGATGTTTCTAGCTCTTTATCCCTCTCCCTTCCTCTCTGTAAAAAATATCAATAAAATATATATATATTTTTAAAAGAGATGGGTTACTGTTCTATTCTCTCTGCTGTGGTCTGAATATTTGTGTTCTCCCAAAATTAATATGTTGGAGTCCTACTGCCTAATGTGATGGTGTCAAGAAGTGGGGCCTGAGGATGGAGCCCTGGTGAAAGGGATTAGTGCCCTTATAAAAGAGATCCCACAGAGCTGCCTGGTCCCTCCCACATGTGAGGATACACCAGAGAGAGGACCCCTATCTGACCATGTTCACACCCTGATCTCAGATTTCCAGCTTCTTTAACTATGAAAAATAAATCTCTGCTGTATATAAACCACCCAGTCTGTGGTATTTTTTTATAGCAGCCTGAAAAAACTAAGACACCCTCCTTTTCTGTGGTCTTTTTTTTTTTTTTTTTTTTTTTTTTAGTTTTCTGAACTTATAAGTCAAAGTCTACCTATTCTAACAACCAATTCCATTCCCCAAAGATAAGCACTGTTAAAATTTTTTCATGTATCTGCTTAAGGCATGTTTATGCATATAAAGCATATATGAATACGCTTTAAAGAATAACACAACTGGGACTGAAGTATTTATTCATTTGGGGCCTGCCCTGTCCTCTAATTTAGCCTAATCTTCATTTCAATGCATTTGCTGCTTCTTCTCATACTCACAAGGACCATCCATCCAGAAAGAAGTCCACACCTGGCATAAGTAGTGCAGCCCTGCTCTGATGGCGCACATGTTTAAAAGATAAAAAGGCTCTTCTGCGGCCAGGAGTAGGGACGGAACAAGAAGGCCCAGGGTCCCAGCTCTGCTATGGATGCTTCAGTCAAGCCACAGGTGGGAGTTCCAGTGTCCTCGTCTCTACAGTGAGCATGAGAGCACCTCCCTCAGCTAAAAGGTGGATGTGGACTATTTATAAACAGCAGAGTACTGCACAAGAAGCAGGTAGTGACCAGCTCCTGCCTCTCAAGACATGCCAGCTGGAGCCCAAGAACTGCTTTAACAGAGAACCAGGTTATTTCTGTCGTTCATGATCCCAGCCTTGGCCTGCTCAGCCGCTGCTCCCAGAATAGGTCCATCAGAACACTGACTAGTTCCAGAGCACTGTTCCAGTAGGAAATGGGCCAGCTTATTTTCATGTGGGTGTTTTTACCTGCTCTTCCTCTTCCTTCCCCCCGCTCATTCTCTCCCCACAAACCCCCTTTGAACACAGACCTTTTCCTCCATTCCTCTTGCTCTATTAGACCTTATGAACTACATCCTGTTTACATATTTATGAAACTAATTTCAAATTTCTGGTTATGGAAAATTTCAAATGCATATAAAAGTGAGAGAAAGGTGTAACAAAGCTCCAGGTACACATCACCAGCTTCCACAGTGAGCAATTCAATCAAACCTTGTTTCACCTCTAACCCTACCCACTCGGGAATATTTTGAAGCAAATTCTCAGTATCACACCAGTGTATCCATAAACATTTCTACATGCATCTCTAAAGGATAAGGACTCTGCTTGTAAACAAAACCAAAATGAACTATAATTACTTCTTATCTAATATCCAGTCAATAGAAAATTTTCTCCAAATGCCTCAAAAAATTTTTTTGCACTCTGTTTAAACCAATCCTGCAATTAATTGATAAATGTTGCCTTTGCTCATCTAAAGTTTCTTTTCCCAGCTTTAGTTTTGCCTTGCAATTTATTTGTTAATAACTTGATTCTTTTGTCATACAGCCTGTCCCATAATCCACAATTTAATGATGGCATGATTTATTATGAATTCACTAGGGGTCCGTTGCAGGAAGATTCCTACAAGCAGCTGCCGTGGCCGAGCACACTGCTGCCCACGCTTTCCCTCTGGTAGCTGCCTTGCTTTCCACTTTTCCTCCCTCTTCCTTCTATGCTGTCTTTAGTCTTCACTCCTCCCTCTCTCGGTGTATGCAAATTAACTGCCATCTTTGTTGGGTTAATTTGCATTCTCACTCTGATTGGCTATGGGTGTAGGTCCGGTCAATTAGCATTTTTCTCTTTTATTAGTGTAGATAGTAAGATCTGGAGATTTGATCAAATTCAGATTTGAATTTTGAATAGAATAGTAGTTGATAGGTGGTTTTCCTTGAGGAGGCAACTGATACTTGACTATCTCTAGTTTTGTGACTTAGCAGCCAACTAATAGTCAGTGCTTAGATATCACTCCATAGAGACCAGAAAATGGTCATATCCTCCCATTACTTCTCCATTTATTAATCAGAGTGCTATTATGATTAAAGATTTTACATGTGCATTACATTAAATGAAAGCATATATTTTCCATTTGTGTTTTTGGCCACAAGGAGTTATAATAGATGATAGATATATCATCAATTCCTTATTATCTACATATTTCATTAAAAATCTATTATACAAAAAGATTTGGTTTCATTAAAACACACACACGCCGAAGCCGGTTTGGCTCAGTGGATAGAGCGTTGGTCTGCGGACTGGAAGGTCCCAGGTTTGATTCCGGTCAAGGGCATGTATATTGGTTGCGGGCACATCCCCGGTGGGGGGCGTGCAGGAGGCAGCTGGTCGATGTTTCTCTCTCATAAATATTTCTAGCTCTCTATCCCTCTCCCTTCCTCTCTGTAGAAAATCAATAAAATATATTAAAAAAAAAAATAAAACACACACACACACACACACACACACAAAAACCCCACTATGCCATTAGATTTCTGGGAGAAAAGCAAAGAAACATTATTCAGAAACCTTTAATCAAAGGATGGAGCAGGACTGGTCCACAGTACATCATTCACATTTAACCTTGATTCTATATTCTGTCACTTGCGAGCTCTGTGACTTTGGTAAGTTTTTCGCATTTTTATCCCTAGTTTTCTCTATAAAAATGGGGATAATACTTGCCTTGTGGTTTTTGTAAGGACTCATGATAAATTATGCCAAGAACATCTTTTGGTGTCCAAAAAAA